TAGATAGATAGATAGATAGATAGATATATCTATATATATATATATATATATATATATAGATATATCTATATATATATATAGATATATCTATATATCTATATAGATCTATATATATCTATATATATATCTATATAGATCTATATATATCTATATATATCAAATATTATGTCATATTATATTATAATATATATACAAATAAAGTTTGCTGCAGCCTCACAGCAAGCTGCCACCTGCTCCCCTTTACTCAATGAATGTCATTACACCTTCTCAGCCTCACCTAAGCTTACACTACAGTGAGCTAAACACACCAAACTGGATATAAAGTAATTTACTGCAGAACTACATCTTAACAGTCCCATTCCCCTCACTACTGAGATGATATAATAATAAAACCTGAATTGTGTTTCAAGTTATTTTTACTTTTAGTACAAACTGCAGCCGCCCTTACAAAGTACGTACTGTTGCATGCAGTTTTTTGGCATACTGCGTTTGACATACTATGTATTGGTAATACTAAATCTTTTTCTGGCATACTTAATATTATGGAAGTATGGATATTGGAATGCACAGCTGTTTTCTCTATTCCTGATCTACCCCGACATCACATGCTGAACAGAAAAAAACATCATACACAAGAGGGTAGCAGATTATAATAGATACATAACAAAACAAGCTTGTGTTTATATAATCTGATATATATGATCTGATTGGTAATGTATTACATCAACTTAAACATTGGCTGTAATTAAGGATTTAAAAGACAAAAACAACAGTGTTAATGTTGGGGAACAGGGTCTAGTGAAGAAGGAGAAGAGCAACATGTTCGCAGCCAATTTCAAAATGAAAAGTAATTCCTCCAAATGTTTGAGTTTGAGACGATGTGAAAGCCTCTAAAATCAAACAAAGGATAATGTTGACAGTATAACGTATTCATACAAACTCATACCAAACATGGAGAACACAAAATCACTGTGAGTGAAAAGACAATATTTTATATGACTGAAGCTGAGGAGACCTGGGGCAAGTTAATGTGAGCAAGTGGACATCTACACATTCATTCCATTTACTTCTTAAGAGGAAGCTTGTTTCCCAACTCACATTCTCATAGAAGACACACGACACAACCTCCTTCCCATCTCTCATGAGGAAGTTCTTGGCTCCGTGACGACCCACAGTGACCGCTGAGTCTAGAGTAGCTGAGGGAAGAGCACAGCCTGTCGCTTCAATGGTGTTTAACAATACTTAACAGTACACGTCAGAGAGCGCAGCAACTCCTAATCAACTGACCAAATATCTCAAACAGGTATGGGACTTTGTCTTTGAACTGGCTCCAGTGTCTCATGCCATCAATCACTGAAGTCAGGATCCGCAGTGAGTTCTCAACGGCTGGCTTCATCGGAAATGTGTCCTGCTTAGCATAAACACAAATGCTGCACTGATCACAAGAATATCATGACACATTAATGGCACATTTTGAAATCTTTGTTTATTAGTATTATTATCATATATTTTTCATGTATTTTTCTACCTGAGTTTGAGATTTTCGCACAGTCTGAGGTTGAATTGTGCTCCTGTTTCCCTCAGAGGGGGATTTCTGTGGCCCAAAACTGCTCGTAAACTTCCAGGAGTTGTTTTGTGGCTGCGCAGAGGGCCTGCTGGGTGGTGGGACAGGAGCGGGCAGAGGTCTGGGCTGCTGAGAATACTGATGTGTGGGATTGGGCGCTCGGTAAGATGACTGCTGACCCTTCTGAGAAAAATCAGGATGGGCTATTGGCTTAATTTGTGCCCTCTCACTGATGTGGGGGGCTTGATATCTGCTCTGTCCGGAGTTACCCCTGGGGCTAAAATCCAGTTGTCTCATTGAGTTGATGGGCTTTCCCATCTCACAGCTGAAAAATGAAAACACATTCACTTATGTTCACATATTGGGATCTAAAATTGAAACACCAGCCACATTAAACTTATGAAATTGCAACATATTCATTTCTTTGGTCTACACTCTCTCCTGTCAGAGCATATCATGTTACAGTAAGTTACAGTTGCAGCTAGGAACAACATGGTGGTGTCCATATTTCTGTAAACCTTTCCAACTGTTTCTCTGGAATCTGGAAGGTTAACTACCCTTTTTTTATTTTGAGAATATAAATATCTGACCATCATACTAATGGTCAGAGTCTATGAAACATACCTTGTGCCTCCAATTTTGTATGGATGGGTTATGGGTGTATAGGTTCTCATTGCAGGGGCAGATCCAGGAGCAGGTCTGTTGCTGCCATACTGCTGGGGCGGAGTAGATGGTGGGATGTCCTGCCTGTTCCACTGGTAGCTTTGTGAAGCACCAGAGGACGGACTTGAGGCCTGGTAACATCCATAGGTACCTGAGGAAAGGTACATTCTCAGAGTAAAATCTTATTTGTCACTAGCTGTGCGTCTTAATTCATTAAAAGACCTTTTACAATATTGTCCTCTGCTTTATGTAAAATTATCTCAATTGTTTGATTCAGCAGGAGATGTTGATTTTGTCAGAAATTAATTAACATTCAAGGACAAGATTTGCCTTTCTAAAATATGTATATAGTTTATATTTGTCTTTGGGTGTACTGCCACCTAGTGACTGAAATACAGTAGGAGCTTAAATGGCCTGACTGAACGCTTCACCTGGTGTGCTGTGATATGCCGCTGAGCTGGTGCTTGCTTTGTATTCACTGTGGGAGAAGAACTCGTTCTCAGAGGGAGCAGATGTCAAAGGAACTCTGTTTCTTTTCTTCTGGTTAAAGAGCGGCACCGACAGGCAGCCTGGTGGACACGGCAGATAAAACATATCTGGACACATCAGACTGCCCAGTACATTAGGTCGGACAGGAAATAATATTTCACATTTTAGGATAGTTGAAATATAGTCAAACAGATCAAATTTTTACCTCGTTCAACTTAAATTGTATATACAAATACACTCACTCTAGAACAAGCAGAACCCACTACTTATTGTATTTTTTGTGTAATGTTACACTACAAAACATCACTGAATCTGGGAACCTATTAATATGAGGAAATACTGTACATTAGTGTGGAGATTGTGAAATACATCTCTTTTACAAACCTGCTGTTGGCCTGGCTGGCTGGTTTTCCTGTCTCCTCATTGTGCTGCTTGGAAAATAACAGCTGATCCAACTAGCGGGTGGTATTACCTAATGTAACAGGAAGAGATGCACCAAATACAAAAGAAATGGAAAATACATTAAAACTGATGCTCTGGTTATTGTTGGTCACGCACTCAGTCCGACAAGTTAAGCCAGTTTAAATGTTGAGGCCTTGTTAGTTTAGCAACAGCTGCACTTTACAGTAGCTCAGCTGGTTTAGCATACTGCTAGTAAGCTAGCTAAAAAAGTACTTTAGCGTTAGCTTGTTTGGACAGCTGTCTAGCTAGGTAACGTTACAGCTGTTATGTAACTACAGCTACAGGTTGTAACGGTTTTCTTCTTTTACAAGGCCACATTTTTTTCTATGAACATTGTACAACATTACTAACTCATGTTTGTTGGCAAATATTCACAAACGTTACATACAACCTTACTATTACGACGAAATGTCGTTTTCCGTTCAGCACCCTGGAAAGTGACACGCGCCAAAACACAGGTGACGGATGTTGCCTTCATGTTCCCCTCGCAAGCTCGGAGGTCCTAATTAATACTCAGAGGGGGTTCAAATACTTTTGATCGAAAATACTGATAACAGTATTTTGTTTGCTACTTACAGCGTTTGTTTGTGGTGCATTTTCAGAATAAAGGATAAAAAACACATTAGGCACGTGTCACTGATGTATGCCACATATTGTATGCCTAGTTGTTGTATGCATCACCTGCATCATTTGATGACATTCACTGTTTGTTCATCCCAACAACTCACACCCTCCTAACTATTTACCACTTTATTTAGGTTACATAAAAGAACAAAAAATCAGGTTGACAATTTGTATAATGTAAGGAGTAAGTATTTAGCCAGTATGCAAAATTAAAAACACATTTCTTATATTAAATAATATATATTAAATCTAACATAGGACCCGAATCCTGTTTTTCAATGCAATGAGGGATTTCAACTGAGCAGCTGGTCATCCAGGTCTTAGGTCTATTCTTCCTCTTGCTTGCATGGAGCAATGTATTACTGACCACACACATACAACTAGTTGTATTACTCTAACTGTCAATAATACAAATGCTAAATTATACAGCATCTCTTTAAAGAATGTTTGTGAAAATAAATGGAAAATAGGTCACTTCAGGGGATTTGTCCAAGGATGCTAAGTTTCACTTTGCAATGGAGTAATGTTGTAAAGATCACAATAGTTGAGGCATTACAATACACATATGAGAATGAAGAGAGATATGAATGAACTTGACATGCAAAACAAGTGAGGAAAGTAGAATACGAGACATGGAGCAGAAGTGCAACAGGTGGGGCTTCTATTAGACTTTTTAATCCTGTTTCCAGACACGTGTGTCAGTCTCTCTCCCTCATCCATGATAGGATCGTCATGGCCACAGCGACAGGCACATGTTATGAGGTTAATCTCATTTGTTACAGTCCAGGTATGGCTGCAATGCTCTGCTCGGCTGTGGAGCTCACTTAACTCCTTATAGTGGTGGTGAGTTCAGGGGATGAACTACAGTAGATATAGATGGGTAAATCTTGCTGGAGTGTCTATAAGGAAAGACAAGGTAAAGGCTACACACCTACTTACTCTGCCCTTAGTTTAGCACAGCGCATGAGGCTAATCTCAGCCTCAGCGTGTCAGTGTGACATCCCTGCTGAGAGTCCGGAGGCCAGTCTTTGATCTTGAAACTCAGCTTCTCTGTCTTGTGTTTCCCTCCTCCTGTGAATCCATGGCAACAGCAGCATGAATGGTCTATTCAGGATGGCCTCCACAACATCCTTTGCCTCTGACAACTTGTGAATCATAAAAACAAGTGTAGTTGATTGGACTTTATTCGCCAGGTGAGAAACAAAAGTCACCATTTCAGCATTTCAGCTGACCCCCGAATCCTCTGAATCTCTTTCATTTCTGCTCTGGAGTCCAAAACAAATTATTCAGTTACTGAGTCACGATTGCTGTAGCACCACTTATGTTGAAAGTGAAAAAAAGAAAGAAAAAATGACATCCTTATGTGGGTGGTTCATACTGCTGAAAGGAGATTGTGCTTTGACAAAGCAGCTGGTCTGATGTGCAGCACTCTGTAGCTATAATGACTATAATGGAGGGAGAGATAAAATATTATATTTTGTAATATAATGATGAAATTATGTACAATATTTCTTAATGACGACACCACATGACATCATATAACCTTACAAGTTACCTTAAAAGCCCATGCACTTTACTAGCCATAGGTTTTACTCATGATTGTATTAAGATATTAATTTATGTATGTACTACCAACCATCAAATTAAGCCTACTTCTTTAAAGACTTAAACGATTGACCTAAATAATTTGCACTCTTAGAGGTATTGAGAATTGCCTTCTCATTTCCAGCCATGATCCTCAAGAAACTCATATGTCCCTAAAACAACTGCAGTTCCCCAACTCTGATCAATTTAGAGAGGGAAGTATCTGGTTAACTTTAAAATATCCTTGTTTTATTCCGGCATCTTCTAGAAGTTTCCGTCAGAGCAGGGCTATATATTTCCCCTCGGAATATCCTGTGAGCCGTAAATCGGAACGCTGTTTGCGGATTTTGTACATCCCAAACTGGCAACCTGCGTGTCGTTCAGGGGGAGGCGCTAGTCCACAGTAGTTTCTGGAAGGAACCTCATGCTTGCACCATGGAGAACGTGAGTTCATCAACTAATCATGCAATTATCTTCATAATAACTTTAGAAGCATACGTTTCGTAGAAATATTGACGGGTTCCTTATATTTTGATTGTCTTTGCTGTAAAAATGTGGGTAATAGTGTAGTAAATCACCTCTTTACACTGTAACTTCACTGTTTGCTAATATCGGACAGCGAGCTAGCTTGTTAGCTTAGCGTCAATCCGGTAGTAATGTCTTGTAGCTAGGTGTTTGGCCGATGTTGTCTGATTGGACTTGAGGCGGTTTCCCAAGAACATATCTTTTGGATTACTCTACAATGTGCCTAAACTGGTTTCCAAATTGTGCAAACTGTTTGTCCATTTGTGTGCGGCTGTGGCTAATTAATGATTGCATACGTCAAGGTTAGCTAACGTTAATTGTTAAGGTTGCGCACATGACTTAAAAATGACCACAGCCGCTTATCATTGAATATACCACAGTACGGTATGGCTGCCACTGTAGCCCTCGTCTGTGATTCGATATAACCAAGCACTTCGCTAGCTAACCCTTTGCAAGTCACCGGCGACATATTTCCGAGTTAGCTAAGCTACTGCAAATGACGCTAACTATGTCACAGCTAACATTAACGAGCTCACAATGTGAACGCCACCACGAATATAGTGACGGACAAATGAAAACTGTAATTAAGCCAGTTGGTAAACGCCTGAGTAAAAATGTTTTGACACAGGACCGACGGCTAGCGTTAAACTGCGACAGTCCGTCTGTAGCACATGCTGCAGGAGTCTTTCTGGATCTGCTTCAACGTTGTTCTCGGTAGCTCTCAGACCGGATGATCATTCTAGATGCACACGGCTCTGCTGTCATGGCTACAGCCGCTTATTGTCGTCAACTGCTGCTTCTTCTTGACAGTTCTGTAACTGGGCAGTTCATGTATTTTTGGTGATTCATTCATTTTGAGACCGCACCTCTGTTTAAAAAAAAACAAATATATATTTCCATTATCATGCCTGACTGAGCAGGCAAGGCATCATAGCGTATTTGGCAAACATGACAGTGAATAAGGTGCACAAGCTCCTGACAGGTCAAAAGAGGTCAGTAAGACTTTCTGAACACCCACAATATCTCCATCTCTTCTTGCATGACCATAGTATACCAAGATCCTAGCCCACAGAGGATTGCAATGTTGCTGTGTTCTACCTTTTATGTTTTCAAAAGTTGTAAGGGGTTCTGATTGGGTTAGGTCTGGTGGCTGTGGAGGTAAAGTCATGCCACTCACTGTTTTTTGCCTGGGATAACGGGATGGAGAGCCTCTTATTGGAGTGGTGCTTCTTTCGGCTCAGAGTGTAAATTATTCCGTCACATTTTGTGGAGATGTGGTGTGATAACATGTCAAACTGTAACAGGCAACCGACAAGAGGTGTTGGAAAACGATCTGTATACTCGCAAACAGAGACAGGAACTGACTTTTTTTTGTTTTTTAAATGGGGTCATTGGCAGAGTCCCCCATTATTGCTTTCAGGCTCCAACCTAACAAACAGGGTCCTCTTAATTTCAGGCTAAAAGAATAGGTTGTACACCGAGGACTGAACTCACGTAAAAAAATAATAAAGGCATATTATCTCACTGCGGCACCCGTCTGACATGAACAGCTGAGTCGTTGTCAATTTATTTTTTCAGTTCTGCCAGTGGAAGCTGCCAGAAGATGTCTTCTCTGTAGTCCGATCCAATCGGGGGACTATTTGCATTGTGTAATAGTGATAAAAAAGCTAATGCTTATTTTGATTGAATTGTTCTCTCTCACAGGTTTCAACATTGAAAGACCAGGGCAACAAAGCGCTGAGTGCAGGAAATATTGAGGAGGCTGTACGTTGCTATACCGAAGCTTTGGCCCTCGATCCTTCAAACCATGTCCTGTTCAGTAACCGCTCAGCTGCCTATGCCAAGAAAGGCAACTACGAGAATGCTCTCCAGGATGCCTGTCAGACCATCAAGATCAAGCCTGACTGGGGCAAGGTGAGGCGTCATTTGTTCTGCCATTATTCCGTTGTCAAGATGTGTTGGAGTTAAAAATTGAGAAGGCAATTTACAATGGTTCTATTTTGATCAACCAGGGCTACTCCCGCAAAGCTGCAGCATTGGAATTTCTTGGCCGATTGGAGGACGCCAAAGGAACTTACCAAGAGGGAATGCGGCAAGAGCCTAGTAATCAGCAGCTGAAGGAGGGTTTACAGAATATTGAGGCCCGGCTTGCAGGTGAAGACTGTTGAATTTGTGAAGCCTTTTATTCTACAGAAAAAGTAGCATATGACATGGAAATTTATGAGTCACTTTACCCACCTACGTGTATAGAGGATTTAGATATGGCTGCCGACGGGACCAGTGAAGGAAAATCACATTGTAAGTGCTCAAGTTTTCAAAGGGGGAGTAGGCCGTCCACTTGGGTTTTGAGTGTTGTGATTCATTCAGACAAGGTACAAGTAGTGGGGGTTGCAGAAGAGACGGCTCTGCTGAATTTCATCCTAGACCCGTGTTTCTGTGTGACCATATAAATTACACTATTAAAATTGATTTATTTTTTGTGCTTCACCAGAGAAATCAATGATGAACCCCTTCGCCATGCCCAACTTGTATCAGAAGCTGGAGAATGATTCTCGGACCCGTGAGCTGCTGTCAGATTCCAGCTACAGAGAACTGCTGGAGCAGCTCAGGAACAAACCGTCGGAGCTCGGCACGTATGTGCATTTTCAAAAATGTGTCCGCTTTATCAACATTCTTTGATTTAAGAATCAAAAATGTTGTTGTTTTGGGTGGCGTTGCACACAAAGTCTGGAAAATAATTGAGAAATGTTGCTTACTGACAGTACAACACTACATAGTATTTGTACACCCTTTTTTTTTTGAATTTGTGGAAGATCATCGTTTGTGTTTTGTCTCAGTAATCTTTAGCACGTATAATACTAAAGGGCCCCAAATCCCAAAAAAATAAATGGATCATGATCTCAAGTTCATTTGTAAAACGTGCATTAGCCCTGAGTACTGTTGATATTAGAAATATATTGGTTTGCTTGACTGCTCTGTAGGAAGCTGCAGGATCCCAGAGTGATGACTACTCTCTCTGTGCTGCTGGGACTGAACCTCTCTGAGATGGACGAAGAAGAGGAGCACACTCCCCCTCCTCCCCGCAAACCCAAAGAGACTCAGCCACCTCCTCCTAAAGAGGAAGACCTTCCCGAAAACAAGAGAAAGGTACAACAGAAAAAGAGATGAACTGATTCATCGTACTTCAATGTAATGACTTTTAAGCCATTTTGTGTCTGCTGATGAAACCGTATTCAGAGTTTTTAATCCTCTTGTTTCCATATTTTTTTTTTTTTTTTTTTTTTACAGGCCTTGAAAGAAAAGGAACTTGGGAATACTGCTTATAAGAATAAGGACTTTGACGCAGCGCTGAAACATTACGACGAAGCAATCAAACATGACCCCACCAACATGACCTACGTATCTAATCAAGCGGGTACGTATTCTCAGACGGAAAACAAATGCCCGCCTCACACATTTGAGCAAATTGACCCATAAAGTGCATAAAACAAAAAGATAATTCAGAATTTCTTATATACTATACATTAGACATTTAGCAGATGCTTTTATCCGAAGCGACTTACATTTCAGATTCTATCACATTTCTATATACAGAATTGGTGTGGGTAGTCCACCGGTTCTTGGCTTTCCTCCCCTTTGTGATTGCTTGGAGTTGTTGCCACTGGGCTGCCCACCACAACTAGACCCTCAGTTTAAGTAAAGAATTGGGATTTCATCACATTATCTCTCAGGAAGTTATTATTTTAGTGTTTTGTCAAAGATCATTTTTTTTATTGGACAGATGACGGTGTAGCAACAGACTGAAAATGGAGAGAGAAAAAAAAAAAAGAGAAGCATGACACACAACAAAGGTCCAGTGGTTAGAATTGAACCATGGACGTTGTGTGGTTGCCAATCGCTCCGAAATATAGAATGACCCAACAGTCGTACCACCAGTTCAACAAGGCTTGAAAACTGACACGATTTATAACCGTTAGTTCAGACTGTGAATGTTAAACATGTACTCATTTTGGTTATCCTTTCAGCTGTGTACTTTGAGATGGGAGATTTCGAGAAGTGCCGAGAGCTGTGTGAGAAGGCCATTGATGTTGGCAGAGAGAACCGGGAAGACTACAGACAAATCGCTAAGTGAGTTCTGCCAGAAGTATTGCTCTGGTTTTTTATTTCATTTTTGTCTTCACTGGAGTGAATCTAACCACACTCAACCCAGAGGGGGGGGACGGGTAGTTTGTGGGTCTTGTAGGACTCTTATACTTACTGATTTATCTACTTTATTATCTGGATGGGAAACGACATGCAGCTAACAGCATATGAGCAGGGAAATTGTATTATACCAGAACCATTAGGTGGCAGTGTTGCTCTATTACTATTACTGAGTTGTCTGTCTATTCAACTTGAGAGTTTAGTTCGAGAGCACAAAGGTGGTTGTGATTATGGTTCTTGTTATTTGTTTCATAATAATTAATAATAAACTGTCTTTTCCTTAAAGAGGAGCTCTCCCGTTTTGAGTCTTTACCCTTTATTTGAGAGAACCAGAAAATCAGATCTCTCATTCTGATGTAATATCTCTATCTTCTCCTTTCTCTTCCTCCTCTTTTTATAGGGCCTTGGCTAGGATTGGAAACTCGTACTTCAAGCAGGAGAAATACAAAGAAGCGATTCAGTATCTGAACAAGAGTTTGTCGGAGCATCGTACTCCCGATGTCTTGAAGAAGTGTCTACAGGTGCAGTGCAAGCTGATTTCCCACTGAATGAAGCTTTTGGATTCTAACTCAGATTATTAGACGGGATTCATTTATCCAAACTGTTTGTTTTTAAAATGGATAAAATAAGAAGCTGTGCTAGACCTGCATGTGTACAGGGAATGAGAACACAAGTGTACGCCTGATCTTATACCTTGAAACTTGAATTGGCTCCACAGGCAGAGAAGATATTGAAGGAGGAGGAGAAAATGGCGTACATCAACCCCGACTTAGCCCTGGAAGAGAAGAGCAGGGGCAACGACTCCTTCCAGAAAGGTGCGAGTAATAGCTGTAGCGCGCCTTTGTTGATCATTGTCATTTGATTCTTCGTTCAAGACCTTGAATAAAGCTGAACTCCTCTTTTTCACCCTACAGGAGACTACCCCGTAGCCATGAAACATTACTCTGAGGCCATCAAGAGAAACCCCAAGGATGCCAAACTCTTCAGTAACAGAGCTGCCTGCTATACAAAGCTGTTGGAGTTTCAACTTGCCCTGAAGGTACAGTGCGTCCTTACCAAGCATCTCCGTTAGTCCCTTAATGAGATTCTAACCTGACAAAAAAACAAGACCTTTTGATCTTTTTTCATTTGTCAGGATTGTGAAGAGTGCATCCGACTTGAGCCCTCCTTCAGTAAGTATCAAACTTTGTAGTTACTATCATTTATTACACAATTTGCTAGAATGCATTTAATAAAGTAGTGGTTTATACTCTTAGAGTTTAGATTCAGGACAAGTCCCTCTGATTTGACACCTAATGTAAACGCGTCTGTCCACAGTAAAAGGCTACACACGTAAAGCAGCCGCCTTGGAGGCCATGAAAGACTATACAAAAGCTATGGACGTGTACCAGAAGGCTCTGGAGCTGGACTCCTCCTCAAAGGTATTTTACAGGTTCTTGCACAGCTCAGAAAAGTCTGGAAAGATGTCTTGGAGTTCCAAGGCCTTAAGCACTTCGGTTTGTGTCAAAAGATTTTGGAAAATAATGGAAATGTGCTAGTTTTGATTAAAGTAGTGTAGAAAGTAATGTGAATTGATTGTACTTTCTTAAAGGGACAATATGTAGTCATATTGTCGATTGCTGTTATGAAGAGTGACTGTAGAGAGGGACCGTCGTTGGTAAGAACAAAGCCATGAATCGGAGGAATAAAACTTTGTTCTAATTGTTTCCAATGCGGTTATGTTCTGAAGCACAAATAAACATCCACACCTCCTGACAAACCGATGGTGCCGGCTTTTGAATGAATGCAGCCCCAGGCCGCCTTCATCCTGCTGTGGCCCGTCTGCTCTCTGTCAAAATAATGCCTGAATACATGCTGAGACATTTTGAAAGAGTCTGTGATGATGGAATATTAGGTGTTATACATAACTGCTGGTTAATGATGAATTTACTTTTTTTTTTTTTTTTTTTTTTTCCCTTTTCCCCATTACTTGCCCTTTCCATATTCAGGAAGCCACAGAAGGCATTCAGCGCTGTATGGTCAGTCAGACCACCACGAGGACCGACACTCCCGAGGAAGTGAAGCAAAGGGCCATGTCCGATCCCGAGGTGCAGCAGATTATGAGTGACCCAGCCATGCGCATGATCCTTGAGCAAATGCAGAAGGACCCTCAGGCGCTTAGCGAGTAAGTTTTTAAAAACTTTTTAGCGTCACTTTCTGTCTCTCTGCATCAAGAATCTAATGGGTTTTGTTTTTTTTCTGTTTGATCCTCAGTCACTTAAAGAATCCAGTCATTGCCCAGAAGATTCAGAAACTCATTGATATCGGACTGATAGCCATTCGTTGATGAGAACCAAGAGACTTCAGGACATCGGAACAACGTGCAAATCCCTCCGACTATTACGCCCTCCTTTCTTGCCTTCAAATTCAAAATGATATTGTCGTTGGTCTCCCTGAGACTTTGTGTGTATGTTATGGTTCTTTTTTTAAAAATCAGTTTCACAACTTTTTCATTGTATTTAAGAAAGCATCTTGTATGTCATCTGGAAAAACTTCAGGACTCCAGAAAACAACTGGCTTCATGTGTACAGATGCTGAAACACATCTTAAAAATAAACGGCACGATTCAGTGCATTGTTTAAAGGGGAAATCCACCCTGAAGCAGTTCACATATTCCTATTGGTCTAAGGAAATATAACTAAAAGAAACGAAGAAGAATTTCTACTCTCAAAATAAAGGTTGTATTGTAGATCACAAATTCAAATTGTCAACATTGGTCATTGTTCTAACTCTCTTGGTCCTCTTTTAGACTAAACGTGGTGCTGCATCTTTCTGCTGGCCACTCAGCTGCAGGTCCTGACTCTTGTAAGCATGTTGGCCATCGTTTTTGTACTTAACAAAAATATTTTAACTTATTTTTTGAGCTTTGCTGTCTTTGGCCTAAGGGATGATAGTATTTGTGTACAGCTAATATCGGGATTTAAACAAATTGTAACGGACTGAAAGAACACTACTCAATGCCATCAAGAGTTTGGGGATATTTTGCCATAAGTGGTTTAAGATTGATCATTAGCGTTACATTAAACTCTTCCATACAGCAATTAATGCACCCATGTTATTGTTCTGAAATATACTAAACTAATATACAAAAAATGTAAAACTTCTAGGCGACGCTCCTGTACCAGTTGACGTATCGGTAAGGCAAGAATACTGTGGAGAAGTCACTTCTGTCAGAAGGAGCCTGAAGAGTTGACTTGACTCAGCAGTCCTCGCACAATCATCTGGCGATCAAGTTTAAACTTTTTTTTTATTTATTTTTTTAAATGTTTTTAAATTGAAGTCCAAGTAAATGCTTTTGACTGGCCTCAGATATTAGTTTCCCAAGCCTGAAAGTAGAGGGCTGCTGTTCAAAATGTGACAACTTGCATGTCTTGAATATTTCCATATCATGGGAACAATATGACATTTGAAGGGTGGATTTTTCCTTTCTAAATTAGCAGCTATTGGTTGAGTTATAGGGTCCTCAATTGTCTCACTTCATGATGCATCTTTAATGTGAGTACTGAAGCCCGGCTGCTACCCGTCTCTACTTCCTAATGTGTATTTTGCCCAGCAAGGAAGTTCCTCCCTCAGTTGCAGACTGCTCAGTCTGTTTTCAGAGAGTTAATGCACATAAGTGTTAACATTAGACATGGCTTCAGATACCTCAGTCAACACATTCACATAGTATCTCTGTGCTATGGTTTCCAAGAGGGACCCAGATATGTGAACTGTGACACCTTTTCACATTCTCTCAGCAGAATTGCTGTATCTGACCTCTATAACTTAATGGCAAAAAACAGCCGAAATTGGGGTGTTTTTAACAGAAGTCTCATTGTAATCATCAACCACACGCAGCAGACGTGGAACACTTACATGAGGTAAAAGAAACTGTCCCAAGAAGTGTAATGTACCATTGGAAATCAATTGTACAGTGAAATATACAGTATCTGAATGTATTTTAAAAGGTCAGTTTTGACTTTTTCCTCCTGTAAGACAAACTATGTTGACAGTGACTATAAAATGTAGTAGACCTACATTTTATAGTCAGGTCTTAGTCGGTGTAATTTAACACCTTACACGCCAATAAAAAGTCAAATGAGAGATTCTTCATACAGACAATTGTGTAAATCATTACGCTTGTCAACACACTACCGTTGATAGATATGTTAAAGGGTGCTGAGGACTGGGACCATGGCCATGTATGTGTTGTGCTACACACAGTATTTCAGCCATTTGGACGTTGATATTGTTCTAATAATTTAGTTTCATATGGTAAAGATATGTTCACCATTTGTCTACAATCTATTATAATGGGGGGGGGAAATAAAATCACCAACGACCAATATAGAAAGATCTAACGTTAACCAGTTCTCTTCTCGTGGCTCCGCCCACACGGAGGGTTCACGTGACTGACCGTCGCCCAGGTTGTGTCGAAAGCATCCTGGTGTTAGCAGTTAGCTTACCGCTGACAGAAATTATAAAGTGTGAATATTTTTATATAATGGGTGAATATTAACGTGGCTCTAGTGAGGACAAAGAAGATAAGGAACTACCCAAACAGGCTTTTTTTTCCCCCAACATGGTTGGACAGCTGATATCGGAAGAGGCCAGTCAACACTGCTAACTAAACATTAGCGTTAGCTCACGTCCAAACTTTGACGGGCACCAGCAGCAATTCGTTAGCTAGCTGCTAGTTCGCCTAATTGCTACTACAATTCCAGCTAGCCAGGACACGTACCTTGTTATTGTAGCAGGTATGCTAACTAACTAGCGCCGTGGGTATTTACGCACTGTCTAATGACGCGTAAAATCATCATTAACGCTATTACTATGTAACGGTAGCTAACCTCTGAATAATGACAACTGTTGTATGCTAACGTTAGCCACTTCAACTTCACCGCAACTAAGATGTACACAATTGCTCCAAATCATCAGCGTTAGTGATTGTCTTTCTCATAGCTAACGTTAATAGTAAAATAAAGCGAACAGCAGCTGGTAAACAGCTGTAATCTGACTAGCTGCACGCCTGTGTTTTCTGATCGATGTCGGCCAATAACATGAGATAAATAATGCGAAACAGCAGGATGTCAAACGCGTGGGGATTAACGTCAGGGCAGCAGTATTGTTTAGGAAGCACAGCTGTCCGCTCGTTTCGCTAATCCTTGTATTCCTCATAATGACACAGTAGATGTTTGTGACTGCTGAACGTGTAGTGTAAGATTAACATCTTGTATACACCAAGACGTCTGACTAGCAAGTTCACTTTAAACGGTCTGCATAGGCTATAGTATTGTTCTTCTTGAAAGTATGCCCGGGGACGCGTCTGATAGTAGTGATGACTCCGATGCAAAAACAAATGAAACGGCCTGTACCGTCAAGCATCAAATCACCAATGGTAAGTCCAGTATACTGTTAGTTTACACCGTGCAACCAGAAACCCCTGCACACTGTAGTTCATTCCATCATGTCATTCACTAAGCATTTGTGATAACGTAAATATTTTTGACATTTTTGACATGGCTGAAGCTTTGCCAGAGAGTTGTTCCTCTGTAGGGTTAAGGAATGACCCGAGGCTGGAGCTGATGATAGTGTTATGTTGTATTGCATTACATTTGAAGGTGTTTCTAACATGCCTGCTTCTCTACATATAAATACAAAATATTAGAAACACTTCTTCTCAGTGTGATGCAGTGCAATATCACACAAACCCAAAATGTACCATCTAATTCGATCAACACACAAAATTGTATTCTCAGTAGAAAGAGTGAAAATATCTATTCAAGTATGTAGTTTGAAAATATCTTACCCACTCATGTGCCAAGCTTCCAGAGCTTCTGTGTGTCAGACCAGAGGAGCTTGTGGACTCACCGCCCTCAGAGAGAAATCTTTGTTTGTGTTTCCACTCATTGTGTTGAACTCTTACTTAATGTGAATCATTTGGGGGAAAAAGACATGCTTGTGTGTGTGTGTGTGTATATATATATATATATATATATATATAGAAAGATATATATAGAAAGAAACATTTCAAAAATCATATATATACATATGTGTATATGTATGTAGGTATATATATATATATATATACACCTACATACATATACACATATGTATATATATGATTTTTGAAATGTTTCTTTCTTTTGAAGCAAAAAAGCCAGTGTTTGCAGGGTGCATGTACTGTATACCGTATGTTTTATTTGTGTCGTTTCCTCTCTGCTACTAGCTAACCTCACAGGTCACACTGAGAGGGTCGGTATGGAGAACTTTGAGCTGCTCAAAGTCTTGGGCACTGGAGGTGAGTGTCTACGTGAAGCACGAAGTATTTGAAATATAAATGCAGTTGTTGTCCAACCTGAAGAAAAACTTGAGTAAAATGTCAGTATGATGTAACCCCAAAGCAGCAGAATCTATTTTCCTGGCATGGTTAAAGTGTTTATAATAGATTTCCATATAGATCGTAAAGAGAAAATATACCTGAGAACTAAAATGTGCGGTAAAACATTTTTTACCAAATGATCAAGACATAATGAATCTGTATTTTCTGAAGGTAGAGCATATGCTGTAGATGTCTTTGTTATTAGAGCTCATCCATAATGAATACCTGTTAGAGAAGGCTGTTTCTGTCAACAAAACAACACCTGATTAAATTTGGTGTGCAGGAATATTTTTGCATATATTCCAGTTGAGTTTCTCTTTTGTACTAGAAGAAACTTGAACGACTGGATGAAATATTTGTTTGTGTTTTTCTAGCTTATGGTAAAGTGTTTTTGGTCAGAAAGAATACCGGCCACGATGTGGGCCAGCTATATGCTATGAAGGTGAGAGACTATTTATACTATGCTAATATACATATATCACAAAATTCACTTTTTCATTACCACGGTTTTTCACTCCACTATTTTTTTTTACATTTATGACTTTTATAATCTTGCAAATGTGTGTTTTTTCTGTCAAAATTTGCCACTGTAATCTCAGAGAATATCCAAATGTTTTTTCCTCATAAATCTACGACTTTAATCTTAATATTTGAGTTTTTTTTCTCTGAATATTATGTCCTTGCCCGGATCCGTGATTATTTTTTTTTATATACATGCATGAGACGTACAAAAGAGCTCCTTAGATGCTTTAACACTGGGCTATGTTTACAATTCAAGTCAGGAAACCTCTATAAAACCTCTTCTAAATGATTCACTGATTTTACTCAAACATGCATTTCGAACTCTTGCCCAGCACATGGTGGGACGTCACGTCAAGTTTATTTTGATTGCTTCCGTAGGTGTTAAAGAAAGCAGCTATTGTTCAAAAGGCAAAGACGACAGAACACACTCGCACTGAGAGGCAGGTGCTGGAGCACATCCGACAGTCTCCCTTCCTGGTGACCCTCCACTACGCCTTCCAGACGCAGAGCAAGCTGCATCTCATCCTGGGTGAGTGACGGCATGCTGCAACCAAACACGGAGAACTCTTGTTGTCCTTGGCGTTGCAGCGCTGAATAGATGTTCTCTTTATGTTTCTGTCTATTACCGTTTGTCTGTTTACTTTGTTGGCATACTGTGTGTTTTGTATAATTGTTGTATTATGTCTATTCAAGCTCCCTGTGTGTTTTGCCTGTGTGTGAGTACAGACTACGTGAGCGGCGGGGAGATGTTCACTCATTTGTACCAGCGGGATCACTTCCCCGAGGAGGCGGTGCGGATTTATATCGGGGAAACAATCCTGGCTCTGGAGCACCTGCACAAGGTACGTGTTGCTCCTTCCAGCTCAGTAACTCCATGCCATCTCTGTTCACACATTACTGCACTTAACATGAATATCGCTGCTAAGTTTTCCCCGTGTGTTTCGTTCAGCTTGGGATTGTGTACCGAGACATCAAATTGGAGAACATTCTTCTAGACAACGAAGGCCATGTGGTACTGACAGATTTCGGGCTAAGCAAGGAGTTTTTGGAAGAAGAGGTATGTGAACAGATATATACGGACTAGATGGATAGATAGATAGATATGTACTTTATTCATCCCCAGGGGGACATTTGTCTGTCGCAGCAGCACACAAAGTTACACAGTAAAATAAAAATATTAAGTATGGAAAATGCATAATATATACAATACAATAAAATACAATACAATAAAATAACAGAGAAGAACCTATTAATTTAAAGGAAATAAAGTAATAATAAAAAACAAAGTGTGAGATCTGTTATTGCTATCACAATATTCTGTTCATATAAGATTTGTTTTTATGGTTACGCTTTATCTCCCCTTTGTCCTCACTACAGAAGGAGAGGACCTACTCTTTCTGCGGCACCATTGAGTACATGGCACCTGAAATCATCAGGGGGAAATCTGGGCACGGCAAGGTAAACATATGACAGTAAGGCAGCAAGCACCGGTGTTCAGTGTCCATATCGTTTTGATCACGTTAAGGATTTTTAGGTGTTGACATGTGAGGACCTGTAAAGTAATCGCTCCATTGAGATCCAGTGTGACTTGAACACAAGCTGTAGATATTGAAACTGCAGTTAAAGACCAAATGCTGCAATGACTTTGGATAACTGTGGTTTCCATACATTAGATCAAAGATAAGATGAGACACAATACTTTTGTGGTTATGGAAAGCAATCAGTATCATAACAGACAACGCAGGCCAATAACTACGCAGCGGGTTTCCCCATCTGCTCATATTTAGTTCTCTGTCCTTTTATTTAATGTCGTTCTCCTTCAGTCGGTAGATTGGTGGAGCCTTGGGATCCTGATGTTTGAGCTTCTGACGGGTGCTTCTCCTTTTACCTTGGAGGGGGAGAGAAACTCCCAGAGTGAGGTGTCAAAGTGAGTGCTGCCAACTCCAATTCCATAAAACATGTATTCAAATGATCAACCTGCCTTAATCTCAGGTCATACCACTTATCTCCGAGATCGTGTTGGAGATAAATGAGTGTTGGTCTCTCGTTAATCTATCTGGCACAAATTGGAATTGCATTATCATACATGTGGTTATCACAGTGAACATCTGCTCTAGGATTTTATCACACAGTATCTTATGAGGGTGCTATGTCAACAAAATGGGCAATTATTTTATTTCCTTCACCATTTTTTTTTTCCCAACCCGTCTTCCGTCAGACGTATCCTGCGCTGTGATCCCCCTTTCCCCTCCATGATCGGACCCACTGCTCAGGACCTGCTGAGGAAGTTGTTGGTGAAAGATCCCCACCGGAGGCTGGGCTCTGGACCACGAGGGTCTGGAGACATCAAAGCACACAGCTTCTTCAAGGTCCTCCGCTGTCTGTCATTCTCATATCCGTCTTCCCCCGTCACCTCTTCTCGTTCGTCCATAACTCTCTCCGTCTGCTTGTTGTTCCCCAACAGGGACTGAACTGGGCTGACCTAGCACAGAAGAAGGTGCAGAGTCCGTTCAAGCCGGAGCTGAAGAGTGAACTTGACGTGGGGAACTTTGCTGAGGAATTCACCGGGATGGATCCCGTCTACTCTCCGGCGAGCACACCGCCGAGCACTGACCGCCTGTTCCAGGTTAGCCTTGCTGTCTCGCCTAATAATAAATCAGATAGTGGTACAAGATGTCTTTATGCCTTTTCTGATAATACAGTTGTGTGTTAGGGGTAGGTTCATGCTAAAAAATCATGTTTCATGTTCTCTCTCTCTCTCTCTCTCTCTCTCTCTCTCTCGTACTACCTTGTCATACACCTAATATTACTTCTCTGTCATTTTAGGGTTACTCCTTTGTTGCTCCCTCCATCCTGTTCAACAAGAACGCGGCCATGGGAGACTTTGTTAAATCCCATATCGGTGCTGATCGTCCTGCTTCAGCCTCTGTCCAACGCAGTGCAATATTAGAGGTACGGAGCTGGAACCAGTGGTTCTTGTCCTATAAAGACATTTTGGGGTTAAGGTGATTTGGGCATTAGTGGTTTTTATTTTTCGCAAAACCAGCTGTAACCTAGACCGATGTAAAATAGCATCTAAAAAAAAGCTCAACAGTGTTTCGTAATTAGGACAGAGAGGAAGGAAGAGAGGAAGTGACACTAGTTGTTTTAGCCTCGTTTATTAACTTACCTTATTTCACAGCATGTTTTGTCGTATTTAATCTTAAACTAGGCAATATTGAAGAAATACAATAATTTTCCAGAGACTCTGTTCTGACAGTCTTTTACATTAGTACAGTATCTGTAAAGGAAAAGGAGATCAAATGTGAATCATAGCTCGTTATCTAAAAGAAAGTATGATTGCAGTGATAGACGATAAAGGGTCGGTGTTGATATGCTGACTAGCACGATGTAATTTCAGTGTTTCCTCTACAGCAAACCCTTCTCAGGTACTTAAATATAGACTTCAGGTTGCGTCACGTATTGGTCAATGCACACCAAAGTCACGTCCCATCACACCGGGGAAAAGAACATCACAGCACATCTCTTTTAACAGCTCAATGTGACTCATACCAACCCCACCCCCCTTTTTCTTTGTTCAGGAATCCCAGTTTTTTCAGCACTATGAGCTGTGTCTTCATGGGCCACCCCTGGGCGAGGGTAGCTTCTCTGTGTGCAGGAAATGCCGACACAAGCAAAGTGGCCACGAGTATGCCGTCAAGATCGTCAGCCGCAGGTGAGATGTGATGCTGCAATATCCCGTGTGTCATTTCTTCCTTTCATATTGAATTGGGGGGATCCAAAGTCAGGAACGATTCATGTCATTATGAATACAACACAAAGAAACAACAAAGACCAGCTTGTTTTTCGTACTTCGATTTTTATGTTCAAGTCAGAAATAGGTTTTGAATTAACGAGCCACGGACTGAGTCTGATCTCTTTTATTTTTAATATGTCAGATCTGTGTGACAGGAAGTTACTGACTTCTTTGCGTGCTGCACGTTAATGTAATAAATTGCTTTGATACTGAAGAAATCTGAAGAAACGAGATTCTCAGACAAGGCTTCTGAAGACTTCCCCTTCCTGTCCCAGTACACGCATACAGTGAGTTACACTGTAGCTGCTGGCTCAGCCGTCACCATGTTGTGAGCTGCTGAATAGAAATGCTCCCAAACTCTTCCAAAGCCACTTTAAATATCCAAATTAAATCCAATCAGTGGCCCCTTTTTCTTTTTACATAAAATCGAATGTACAAAAATAAGCTGTGTTTTGTTCAGTGTGGCTTTGTGGCACAGGCAGTGACTGACTGTAATCCTGCGGGCTTAATAATAATAATAATAATAACAATAATATTTATCGAAAAGTTTGGCGCGCTTCTCCTCACACAACGTTGCCAACAGCGGCGTGAAAAATACCTTAAAACGTGCGGCCCGATCGGGAATAGTGTCCTATCTATTTTTCGGAGAGATTCGCCCAGCGGTTTTCCCGAAAATCCCAAAAAAACAGAGCAAAATCGCCCCATTGACTTGAATGGGGTTTCGGCGTGAAGAGAGCAAAAAAAACACAAAAACTTGGGACCCATATTGACTAGCCGTACATTAACGTAGAAACATGATTCAAAGTTTAAAACGTAGACAAAACGCTGCACTTTATTGAGCCAAATGGACATTTTGATAGCTGGCACAGTATTCATGAAGTCACAGATTAAGTTTCAGGAAAATTTTGTGTCTGTTTCAGATTTTATAATGGGTGTGTATTGCACGGCTCGTTAAGAGCTAGAGTGAGAGCATAACTGTCAGAGTGGAGCGGAGCAGGAAAATATTCTGTGATTTTTCCAAACAAATTGCTCCAGCTCCCACAATGTTTACTCTTTATACACCATTTTGGCCAAAAAGCTTGGAAATGTTGTGCTGGTCGCAGTAAAGTGTCTATGGAATCCAACGGACTTACACATTTGGCTCAAAGAGCCGCAGAGCGACATGAACTCCAACCAACTGCTCCATTAGACTCCATGTTAAATCTCACCACTCATTTCTCAAAGAAAGCAGACGGTACCAGTTTTGTCTATTGCTCTGGAGCTCACATTTTCAACACCACAAACATAAAAAACACATCAGCGCGTTCGGCAGAGTCTTATCTTTCTCACGGTATCCATATTTTGGCACTCAGACTTTTTGTTAAAAGGAGAAGGGGTTTTGTTCAAAATCACCGTTTACTGTAAAGTTTCGTAATCAGTCTGCCTCTAACACCAGGTGCTTCCTCACCATGGCAACCAGTTACACTCTCTCTCTCTCTCTCTCTCTCTCTCTCTCTCTCTCTCTCATACAGTCATTCAGGTCTTAAATATTTTTAGAGAACCCCTTCTCCCATTTCAAAATAAAAGCCCCAGAGTGGGAATTCTAACTGGAATGCTTGTGATGAAGCCTGTCATTTAATAACCTCTGTGTTTGTGTGTCAAACATTATGAATGTCTCCTCTCCCCCACCCAGTCCCACCCTTTCAAAATAAAAGCCTGATAGAGTAACTGTATCTTAACATGAAGCTCAGAATGAGGCTCGTACAGAAATGACGGGAGCGTCAGCTCCCATCATTTCCAAAGGCTTCTCAACCAAAGGTTTATATCTTAAATACAGGCTTCAAAGGCTTTTCAAAGGCTTCTGAAACAAAGATGTTTATGTCCAGTACAGAAATGACGGGAGCCATTTGTGGACTGTCCATCACGAATACAAGATTCAATCCAAGAGTATGAATCTAAAATGCAGAAAAGAGAGAAGCGATATATCAATCAAAGCTCAACGATACTACCGGTAACATCGGCGTGTGTAGTTATATATTGCGACGTCTTCGGGCAGTAGAAGCCACACTGTCAAAATTTCTTTAGGAATTTTCTAGTTTTTTATTGCGTTGCGTTCATAAATGAATAACAAAGTAATGAATTGTTTTGTTAAATGTTCTGATTTTGGATTCCCTGTTTTCCTATGAAGAGAACTAACGATGCACAGATTCTGCTCCACCATCTTAGCGACGGCTCTGAGGTCGTGCTTCACAGCGTCACTGTACCGGCTGATAGTACGAGTCACAGAATGTCCTCAGTAACATGTGTACACCCTGTTCTATGTGTTAGAATGGAGGCCAACACCCAGAGGGAGGTTGCTGCTTTGAGGCAATGCGAGACTCATCCAAACATCGTCAAGCTGCATGAAGTGTACACGGATCAGGTACGGTGGAGGAAACACACACACACACACAGGATGACGTGTGCAATAACAAACACATTTACTGTGTGTGCTTTCAGGGATGGGAACCTGAGCGATGTGCAACAACAAAGCCGCTGTTCAAACTCTTCTTTTCTCTCCTTCGTTAGTACCACACATATTTAGTGATGGAGCTCCTGCGAGGTGGGGAGTTGCTGGAGAGGATAAAGAGGAAGAAACTCTTCGGAGAGGCGGAGGCCAGTCAGCTGTTACAGAGCCTGGTGTCGGCAGTCAGCTTCATGCACGAGGCTGGAGTCGTGCACAGAGACCTCAAACCGGAGGTGAGCTAGGCTGACGATGACTCCATAAAACATACAGTCTCTCATTCCAAAAAAAATGAATTGATGACTCTTATGACACAATAGCACCGAGCTGTGTTCTGTGCACACGCATGCATGTATGATTCTTTTCATATAGAAAACATCAGTCCAAAGTCATTGCATCCATAATTCCTCTCATCATATTGAAATTAAAAATACATTTCAGTAATTGCATTTTTTTTCTCCAGAGAAGTTAGATGTTAAAAAGGAAGCCGTGGCGTGTGGAATTATTGGCTCAGAGAGAATTAGTGAGAACAGAATGAAGTTTTAATTGTCTCGGTATTTTCCACTGTGAACCGCATGTGTTGTGTTTTCCCCCGAGGACGTCTCGCACAAACTGGCTTAATACAGAGTTATAGCCGACCTGTTTGATGTGGGGGGGATGTTATTTTCCTTTCTTTTTTTTTTGTGCATCATTTTGCACATGATTTAATCGAGGTAATCACAGTGGACAACGGCGCATAATGTCTCTGCTGCCGTGCGACACTTCTCAAAATGAAGGCTGCAGATTTATCACGAGCATATCCTGCCGTCTTCAGATGGCTGTGGGATTTAATTAACGCAAGGAGTATAGAGCAGCTGTGAATGACAGATAGTGGTACGAATCAGCCATTAACTTTTAGTAACGCTCCAGTGTTTTACTGAGACGCCTGTCGTAATCGCATAAACTTTTATATTTGATGCCAATCTGAAGGCATTAACTGGTCGGAGAGTGTTTTTAATTAAAATGGTTTATCTACATTTTTCCATAATTCCCGCAAATTTCTTAAGTATCGAGCTCGCGCTTTGTTGACACAATCACCGAATGATGAATCATGGTCAGATGAGCGTTGTGGAAGTAGCGGCTGTCCTCCGGCATCTAATCTAGTTTTCACCAAGATATCAACTCATTTTGGGAAGCCTTTTCTTTTTTTTTGTTTTAATGAAACTCCCATCTGTTCCCCTCTTACTCCTACCTTTGCACCACATGTGCTGCACTGCGCACGGAAATGTGATTCACACAGGTAAAGCCTAAATTTAGGTCAGGAACATAGCAACTCGCAGTATTTAGTAGTTTTACTAGTTTTTACTCGTGGCATTAACACGTCAGTAAAGACGAGTGTGAAAAACAAGAGCGGATGATCATGACCTTTTCTTTCTTGCAGAATGTGCTGTTTGCAGATGAGGCGGAGGACTCCATTCTGAAAGTAATAGATTTTGGATTTGCCCGCCTGTGCCCGGCAGGCAGCGCCCCCCTGCAGACTCCCTGCTTCACGCTGCAGTACGCCGCACCTGAACTCTTTGAGAGTGCAGGATACGACAAAGCCTGCGACCTCTGGAGTCTCGGGGTCATCCTGGTAATTTAACCAAAAACCGCTGATTCGGTCACATCGGTAAGGCTAACTGAAGTACTAACGACTCTCTGTGTGTGTGTGTGTGTGTGTGTGTGTGTGTGTGTGCGCGTGCGTGCGTGTGTGTGTGTGTGTGTGTGTCATCAGTACACCATGCTGTCAGGCCAGGTGCCATTTCAGAGTGAGCAGCGGGGGATGACCTCATCATACGCTGCTGACATCATGCAAAAGATTAAAGAGGGCGATTTCTCATTGGATGGGGAGGCATGGAAGGGCGTATCGGAGGACGCCAAAGAGCTTGTTAAAGGTATGCGATATAGTACGTTTTAAGTGACACACTTGGGGTTTGCCTTAGTTATTAGGGCCACATTACATAATTAACATGTAACTAAGTACTCGCTTCGGTGGAGTTTCTGCCTGCCCTGTGTGATGGGGGATGGGTTAGAGAGTTCCCACTGAGCGGAGCACTCGTCAGAAGTCAGAGAAATCTTTTGTCTGCTTCCCTTATGACTTGTTCTGTTGTCGTTGTGTTTCTTTGACTCTTTAATTCTGATTTAAGGCTTACTGACCGTGGACCCAGAGACGCGTCTCAAACTCTCTGATCTGAAAGAGAACAGCTGGCTGCAGGGCGGAGCATCCATGTCCACCACTCCTCTGTGCACTCCAGATGTGCTCGAGTCTAGTGGGCCTACTGTCCGCACCTATGTCAATGCCACCTACAAGGTAGTAGTAGCATTGTGTACACAATTTGGCAAAGTTCTTTAAAACGATGATTGCATGAACTCAATGTGTTTCATCTTGCTTTTCTTTGTCCCCCCCCCCCCCCCCCCCGCCAGGCTTTCAACCTTGGTAAGAGAGAGGGCTTCTTTCTGAAAAGTGTCGACAACGCTCCCCTTGCAAAACGCAGAAAGCTGAAGATGACGAGCACAGGCGTCGAGACCCGATGGAGTTCATCCTCTTCCTCCTCCTCCTCCTCCACTTCCTCCTCTGCCTCGGCCTCTGCAACATCATCCAAAATGCAGCCAAAGCAAACTGTGTCCCCAAAGCAAACTGTGTCCCCAAAGCAAACTGTGTCCCCAAAGCAGAGCTAGCCTCAATGGCAGTGGAGAGAACAGAAGGGAAATGAAGAGGTGTGTGCTTCTACGGGCAACCCAGGGTCCTCCAGTGCTGATGGGGTCACCCAGTTTCCAAAAAGAAGGACCATACTGTCAAACCAAAAGACTGGTTTAGGTTTGTGTTAAGTTTTCAATACAAAATTTTATTCCATCTTTTAACAACAAAGCAACTTTGCCAATATTCTCCCCTAACCAAACTGTGTTTTCCTTGAATGGATGGAGGAGGAGGTGGCAGGAGTCTAGTTTGGCATCATTAAGATGCACAGAAATCTGTGGCCTTGAGAAAAATATTATTATCCAGTATTGACCATGGTATGGTGATATTATACACTAAAAGTTCAAAATCAGACATTTATTACCTGTTTTCACTGTGTGTAAGAAACAGTGCCTGGCTATATAGGGACAAAGGGAAAAAGGAGCCATAAATGAGCAGAAGCCATATTTATAGCGACGCAGCGAATTAAACGTTGTGGATACACACCGATTTGCACATAGCAAATTGAATAGCCCTTCCAGCAATTCACAGGCTTGAATCCTTTGATTGTATCTAGTTATTTTGAACTTTGCCACACGCGTAATGATTCGGTTAAAAGCTTGGCCACGAGTGCTTGTGCCACACGAAAGCACTCGTCTTTTTTTTTTTTTTTTTTTTGCTGTTGCACTATTTGCAGAGAGCGTAAATGATCGAGAAAAAAAAGGGCAGACTGCTGGAAGGAATGGCCTCGGAGGGAAATGCTTCTGATATGTGTGACCTTTGAGATGGCAGAGGATGCTGTAGTCAAAATGGTCTCTATTGGATGCGGTTTTAACTGCGTCAGTCCTGTGGGCACTGACTTTGCAAAGCAGTTGCACTTCCAATACACTACCAACTCTATAGATCCTGTTAAAACACAACGCATGTCTCAGTCGATGGCTCTGATAAGGACTCCAGAGTTGCACTTGAAGTGGTCGCAGTGCTGACGGCGTGCCCGACAGTAGCACTTGTAAACGCAGTTGAAGACACAGAAGGACACGTGATCTAGAGAGTGGGGTTTTTCTCGTCACACTTGCTGTAAATTGCTCGTATTGTTGTGCCGCTCCGACCATTTCTAGCATGCTGATCCGTCGTGAAGATGAACTGTTTTTTTAAAATATTTCGGTATCTCAAGCGTACTTTGGAAATGTTTTTATGCTACCAAGTGCACAAGAGTGTTTGCACGTAGATTGGAGCAAAATCCATTTTTGGTGGTTTTGGTGTCCATCGCCTTTGGCTTGTGAATTTTCAAAGGGTATTACAGTTTGTTTTTCTGTTGCCCTATCAGACCAGCGCCATATGCGGTTCCCACGAATACAATCTGATTTGATACAGTGAAATATTCCCCCCCTTATTAACACTCAGCTTATTGTCACTTGGGATGTAAGGGGCCACCCACAGATGTCTTTTTACAGATGTGCTTTTAAAACATTGTATGGCTTTGAAATTCAAATAATGTCACAGAATGAGACACGTAATCATGAATTTATTATGGTTCTGATGAGCCCATCCTGCAAGTTCTGTATATACTCATTCTTGATTTAAAGCAAAAAAAAAAAGAAGATGTATGTAATGATTTTAAGATTTGAAAACTGTTTTAATGGTATATTAGTCTTCTGGTGTATTTTTGTTGGACTTTCTTTCTTTTTTTTTTTTTTTTAACATGTTGCACAAACAGTTGATCAATTAAACACATTTCAGCTTTAACAGTGCTTTCTCTGATATTTATTACATGTAGTTGATATTAATGCTGTGGTAATGGGATTCATGATTGAATTGGCTCTTGTAGTGTACCAACAGTGTGTGTGTGTGTGTGTGTGTGTGTATGTGTCTGAGCGGTTGTGTAAGAGCATGAATGGTGCTGGGAAGTTGGTTGTACCGATATATATTTCTGTACCAGATGAAGCATTATTGCAAGTTACTGTATTATTCCCTTGTTGTTTGCCGCCTTTGTCTGTTTATAAGGTAACCGGTTGTTTGTATTTGAACATTTACATTTCTACTTAAGAATCTGTGCTTTTATTGGTGTTATTTTGGTGTAGTTTCCTTTTCGCTTCCTTTTTTTGAGCATTACTATTTTACTGAGGTGCACTGTCACTGATGTCGTAACTGGGAATTTATCTTTTGCACCAAGTTTTTTTTTTTTTTTTTTTTTTGGTTGGTGCAAAATAAACATTACTTTTAAATAGATGGTTGTGCATCAAGTCTTTTGAGTGTTGTCATTGTTCTGTGAATGCTTTTGATCGGAGGGAACATTGGTTTGAGCACTTTCAGCACCAACTACGCTACATAAATACTGGTGGTGAGACTTTTAATTATTGCTACCAATCAATTACACAGGAGGTTTCATAACCTTTCCATTTGACAGAAGACATTCTGAAAATGGACCTATTTTATAACGGAGAGGTAAAACCGCTTGTTAAAAACAATCAGCAATTTAATCCATTTCAAACCAACATGAATAGTTTTCAGTCAGCTACAAGGTGAGATGTTTTACCACAGAATATTACACTCTTACCTCTTTTTGGAGTCATTGCCAACTCTAAACTCAAAATCCATGTTCAAATGTACCTTAAATCCCCTATTCAATCTCTTGATTTTACCATCTGTCCACAAAAGAGAGTCGCTACAGTCGCTGATGTTCAGAGGCTTTAAAGCTTATAAAGTTCTCTCTAGTCTGAACAACTAGCACCACTTATTTCATATTGCACACAAAGGACAGGAAATGGAAAGGGTTGGGTGGATTTCTAAGCATTCTATCTGATCCTCTGGATAATGGCCGGCTGTCCTCTGCAAACACTGCTGCTTTAAACAGCCAACAACTAACATTACTATCATTACTTTACTAACCAAAGACAGTTTGTGGTTTGAAAATGGGGGGACGGGGGATATTTGTGGACTGAAACCTAACTCCAGAGTGTACAATACAGTAGAACAGTAGAATCAAGTTTCCAGCATTCACAAATGCGTGTTTTTTATAGCAAGTTAATTATACTTGGGTGCTTCATATCCTTCAGACATATTGGGCTTCATCAGGGGGGGGGGCAGTAACGAATTACACTTACCGTACTATAAAACAGTCGGTTGTTTTGTGTAAATCATATGAAAATGTCGAGACAAACCGTGTGAGAAAGCAGCACGAGAGAGATTCTGCTGCTTTTTCTATCGTTGACAAACTGTAACTCGGCAGGTGTGTTTGCGGCCGCACGAGCGCTGCGGACAGGTGAGACACTGCACTTAGCGGACACCAGGAAAAGATACATGTAACGATAGTCAACTGTTTGCGTTCACTGGCCAAGTGTCGGGACCAAAAAAAAAAAAAGCACAACAATGCAGTCAAACTTCTATGGTTGAGGTTAGCATTAATTGTACCTCTGCACAGTAAAAGGTTGCGTCTAAACGTTACCTGAGTTAATGACACACTTTTTCGAACCACCTGGTGAGCACGTGTGACCTGGCTCTGGGGAAATGCTAATATGCTAAAATGCTTTTGGTGGATACCCTTCAGTGTCAACTCGGTACATTTAAGGATTTTCTGCTGCGTTTTGACAATAATCATCTGATGTGACTGCAGTTTATACTTATTCTGAATGTGAGGAGGCATACAGTGAGGACAGTTAGTCTAAGTGGACTGGTTATATCTTGTATTGAGAAGGAAGGAGCTGCAAACCAGAATTCTAGCAGAAATAAATACAGTGTTTAAAAATTGGCTGAGAAAACATTGGGCAGGACTCTCAGGCTCTTGTGCAATGGCCATTATTGCAGCAGAGAATTACGTCTCTTCAGTTCACATATTTCCACCCCTCCAGACACGCCAATGCCGAGAAGCTGAACCTGACTGAGAGGGACTTCGAGGTGCAGGTAACTCCCAGAATGCCGTTCAGAAAGGTGAGTAAAACAACAACGACATGCTCCCTGAACTCTACCCACGGATGAGCGCGTCAACAGCATTGCGTTGCCTAATAGCTTAGCGTTGTTTGTAGACAGCATCTATGTGTCTGGTTTGGGTAGTGTCTGCTTGTTATTTATTGAATTTGTTGTTGTTTTCTGGTTATTTCATGTGAGGCTACACAGAATAGGGAGACTGTATATTTATTTATTTATAGTTGATAGTAAGTTGTACACAGTCTGAAAAGTGCTGTCTGTGGAAAAACAATATTTATTCTTGGTTTGGACATTAGAGCTCATGTTGCTGATGTTATCTGGCTATGAAGCCTATATGTTGTAATTTAATGCAATTTATTTTGTCGCAAATCATCAAACCCCCCCCCCCCCCTTTCTTTTTTTTATTTAAGGTTTTTTTTAATCACAAGTGCTTTTACTTGAGTACAATATACCAATACTCTCTCCAACTCTGGTCTTTTTTTCTTGCTTATTCATTTCTGTTCTACAACTTGACCTTGATCTTCTTCAAATTCCTGAGCCTCGTAATTGTTGAAATCTATAACTGTAAAAAAAAAGAAGAAAAAAACCCCGGCTGTCTCCTGTGTCCTTTGTGTCCGGTTTTAACTGTCCCCTCATCACATCCCGTGTCAAGTGTTCCCTCTCTCATTCGTTTTTTTTTCTGTGAAAGATATGTGCTCAATAAAACAATCTATTGTAAGATACTTTTAAAATCCCTAATATTGGATTTCCTAAATTGTCCTATTACTCGTCTCACTGAACGATGTGATGCATGACGGTCACTGGCACCGGACCAGACGGGCTGCATTTCCCCGTGAGAGCACATGAATGTTTGAAACATTGCTTGGGACAAGACGTTCAATTAACAGCACAGGACACGAGGAACAGGACACAGCCGACGCAGGGCAGGATAGAAAAGGATGCAGTGACCACCCAGCGATAGAAGACCTTCATAGCACAGAACAAGACACTAAATTACAGTCTCACTTAATTACAACCTTGCTCAAGTACCACCAAGCCAGGAGCCTGTAAAGGACAGTGTGAATGGTTTGTCCTTTTTTCTTCGGGGACATCGATGATTTGAGCTAAATGCTAACATCAGCATGCTAGCATAATAATAACAACACAATGAACATGCTGATTTCTAGCAAGTGTCATTGGTTTTGCAGGTATTTGGTCATAAATGTGTGCTAGATGAAAAGTCGGGGGATATTCAGTCACTGGGGTTCATCCTCTGAGCACCATGAATATCTGTACCCGATTTCAACGCAGTCCATGGAATAGTCCAAAGTGGTGGAGCCACAACGTAGCCAAAAAAGGTGATATTATATTGGCGGCGATGTTGCGTGTGATAACCCAAAAGCAAGGAGAAACAGATAAAAGTGATTGGCATGCTTTGCAGTCCGCTCATTGATCGCTGGCAGCAGATGAATTCCCAGCTGAGCTTCTGGGCTAATCAAACGCAACGCTCCACATATTCCACAGACCATGTGCCGCAGCAAAGGCCGCCGTTTTGGCAGTGCATCGCTAACAAACAGTTGCACTTTCTGAAGGGCAAGACTTTTGTCTCTGCAGGAGGAAGCACATGTTCGCTCATACAACTCACACTTTCAAACACAACACGAACGGAAGCCAACAAAACGTTGGGGGGAATGCAGCTCTGTTGGCATGGTGAACTGAAACTGTGTTTAGATTTTGCGAGGAATTAAATATTAATCAGAAGGTAGGATTAAAGTGTCCTCTTAAGCATACTAACAGTTCCGCAGACACCCATGCAAGTGCCATAAAAGCTGTTATTAGCTTTGGCAACAATTTACAGTGTACCAAAAAGTCATTTGGAGGTGCGATCCATTTATAGTTAACAGGGAAAACAATCTTTTGTGTTTTGCGTCACATGTTTATACAGTGTGAGACCGTGCAGCTTTAATGAAGCAATGAAATGTAATGTTGAACTAAAAACAGGTCTTTTCTGTCTGTAAGCTTTATGTTAGAAAACTGAACACTAAGGGTTTTAACTGATGAGAGTGCTTAATGAAATATTTAACAGTCTATTAAAATATGCGGTTTGTGATAATATGTACATGTCACATAATGCTGCCCGTCAAGGACCCACAATGCTCTATTAGTTCACCGATAAGTTTCATGAACTCTGACGCTGTCCGTGGTCCTGAGCGCTGCACCATAAATTCCACGCCACCGGGGGTCAGTAGGGCGCTTGGCACCGACGGCACGATGAGCAATGGAGAAGCGATGGATAACGTGAATATAATGTGTCATTGGGTCATTAATCAAATCAATACCCAGGTGGATGATTTGCACAGAGTAAATGTAATATATTGGGCATGACAAAGACGGATGTGGATGGAGCGCTCGCTCAAAATCATCAATTACAGTCCGTACGGCTTGGCAGTGACCCAAGAACGGAGTACAGTTATAATGTCTTGTGTGACTCCAGAGGAGCTTTCTAGAGCCTCGAGTAAAAAGCCTAGATGATGTCATAGTGATGTAATCACGGTTATCCTGAGTTGGGTTTGAGACTTTAAATATTTGAAAGAAAACCTGTGTTATAAACAGAGGACGTTGAGTTTGAAAAATGAACAAATTTAACAGGCAGGGGAACATCTGTTGAAAGATACCCTTGAGCTGCATTCTGGGAATTGTAGGATCCAGCCCTTTTAAAGCTTGTATACCAGTGACTCAGTTAGGATTTCTCATCTTTTGCAGCATCAAATTCTTAAATTCACTCTTTCTCACTGCAGTACCCCAACCTTTACGGATGTGCAACATTAAATCACTGAAATATCCTTTTAAATCCAAAGTCATCCCAATGCTCTATTTAATCTTTTCCCGTCATGTTGTTGCTATTGCAGGGTAAATGAATGCCCGAACAAGAAGCAATGCTAAACCTGTCACGATACAGGCGTTGTTCAAAATTACTGTTGTCAGTTGATCCCCAAAATGTCAGTGACCGTGCATTTTCAGTCTTAGTTCATGTCATTGCGTCGAAGAGGTTTCATTAACCCGAGGGTCAACACATTTTCATTGTTTACATCTTTCTGTAATTGAACTTGGAAATTAAAAAAAACAACCATATGAGGTTTTCACCGAGCAGTGACAGTTTGTAATTTAGCGGCGGTGCGTAAATTAATACTTTGCAGCTAATGAGTGAATCATCTTTCTCTCTGTGTCGTGGGTGAAAGTGTTGGGATGCTTACGCTTTATGAAATCACTCCATGAGTTGCAGAGTGCATCGTTGTCGTGTGTTGGGGGAGTAAAAACTTGTAC